GCTAGCGACACAGCTATGTTAGCATAACATAAACACAGTGAAGCTGGAGGATGAACGCTAACTTTTTTCCACTCAAAAGTTAACGTGAGGGTTCCTGATGGCTAGGGACAAATGCAAACGCATGGCAGGGTGCTGTAAAATATAAGGTTAGTCATTAATATACTGTGACAACATGGGAATAGAGTACCTGCGAGAGAATTCAACATTAATGAATCAATGGAACGAGTTGAGTAAAGTTTGACTTATCTGACTGTTTTGTTTGCTTAATGCGCCTTATAATCCAGTGCGCCGTATGTATGAAAAATGACTCGTTCATCGACCATGCACCTTATAATCCGAAAAATACAGTACTAGAAAACTGAGAGGTTAAAGGCTGTTTTGTGTCCGATCCAGTCTGCACATGCATCCCTGTTGGTTAATGTCTAGTTAAGCTTGCTGCCACAGTGTATGTGTTTTTTGTGAGAATGAACGTTTTTTGTTTGTTTGTTTATTCCCTTCACTTGGAGAGATTTATCCAGCACGTGCCAAGTCAGTCAAAACATACAGTATCTCATCCTTTCCAGCATCGCATTGGCCACTTGGAGCTTTAACTGGGTTTGAAAGGCATTAATGAGCTCACAGTCTTCTACTGATTTCTGCCAGACTGATGAACCATCTGTTAGACAGAGAAATGATTTAAACCTTTTCCTCTCGTCACAACAGGTTTCCCTGACTCATGAATGCCAGAGGAGGAATGAATGAATGTATGAATGGAGGATGTGTCTAAGCATACGGAAACCGCTGATCTGCCTGAGCCTTTTCTGACAGATGCATTTAATTTATTGCCTAGCATAGACATTATGCATTGTCCTTAGATCAGCAGCTAAATGATTGTCTCTTATGGAAAGTATGTTCCTAAAGACAAAAAGATGGTTTTTCATATTTGTGGCCATTGTGTGCAGTTTTTGAATACTACAAGTCCCCAGGATTATTACTTATGCTGCATTTCTGAAACTGCATAAGAGTAGAAGAAAACCACAGTAAAATGTGTATGCATCTATTGTTATATATATATATATATTCCTATCACATTATGTGTAACTTAATCTGATTTTCCCTTTTTCATTTATAGAATTAAAAGGTTGATTACCTGATTATTTCACAGTGGAAAGTGACTTAGTGTCCCTCTGTGGGGGTCTTGAGACAGGGAGGTTCTGGGGGGGCTGCCTTGACTGCTTGCCCCACAGCCCAGACCCAGATAAGCAGCAGGAAGTGGATGGATGCAGAATCTTTCCTTTGTTTTGTTTATTACACAAACAAAAACCACCCACTGGGTTTGCTTCTATAGCTCACTAGTTTCTGCAGATAAAACTTTAAATGTCAATAAATAATTTAAAAAAGAGGCTCATATATTTGAGCCATAAATTTAACCCAGGCCACTAAGATAAAGACAGATCTACAACCACGCTGGTGTGAAAACACGGCCCTTTCTACATTTACCATCACAACAGTGGCCTTTGAGCCCCAGCGATGCGTCATCCTCCATCACTTCTGTCATGAGTCACTTCATGAAGCTCAATAATTCATGACCTGAATACATCTGCCCCATTATGACCTGCTGTTTGGTGCCAAGTCCCCATCCCTGAGCAGCTCTCTCCGTTATTCCCTGCTGTCATCAGCCTAAGGATTAGTAATTCATTCAGAAGTTCTCACTCTGGGATACGCTTCCTTCATAAGTGAATTAGTTCATTATAGTGATCCAGTCTGCTGCCAACTAATAAATATTAAATCAACATAAACACAAAAAATTACTCATTAGTCACACTTGAACTACGTGAATAACGTCATTTCATTTTCATAAAGTTCTTATGCCAGAAGATGTGAATTAAGTCATTCCCGGTGCTGCAGTGGAAAATGAATATATCTCACATGAATGCAGTCAGTGTTTGTTAATGAATTCAGCTTTATTTACCAGCTCGTAATGTCAAGCCCCAGATTGGACAGGTGTTACTCAGGCTGTAAACACGAGTTCTCAAAGCACTTCTAAACCCACTGTGTGAGAGTCATCATGTGTAATTTATGATGCTTCAATAAAATACACATGTATGTACATTTATGATCTGTCTGTCATATAACCATGAAAAGACCAAAACCAGTGAGAATTGAATGACGAGCATTGTCTGAAAAATTAATATTATCAGCTGTAAAGGCAGAATAAAATGTCTTCCCATCAAAATATTTTTAGCAGGAATATTAAGACTCAACCAAATATGTAATTATAAATAATAAGTATTAGCCAATGGTCCTTTTACTCGTCATTATATCGCATCTGTAGTATAAACTGCAGGGCTTGTTTTTTTTTCTTTTATGAAACTTTACCCATTAGATAGTTTTGTTTGTTTGTTTTTAGGTATTAGATATCTATCAGCCAATCATGGCAACCCAAGACATGGATGAAGACATTCTCGAGACAACCTGCTGAAGTTTAAACTGGGCATCAAACGTTGGCATGATTGTTAGTACCAGATGGTCGGGTCTGAGTATTTCAGGAACTTCTAATTTGCGCTGATTTTCCTGCACAACCACCTGTAAGGTTTACAGAGAATGGTTTATAAATGATATAATCCCATCGGTAGCAGTTCTCTGGGCGTAAATGCCTTGTTGATCTAATAGAAGATGGCAGTAACTCCAATAACAACTCTTTACAATCAGTGAAGCTGCAGAACATCATCTGCCAATCCTGTTACCTAATAACAGGAAACTGAATATACACGTTGCATGGCCTCAGCAAAATTGGACCGTAGAATATCGGAGAAAACATCACCTGGTGTGACGAGTATTGATTTCTGATGTAAAATTTGGGTTGTAGGGTTAGGATTTGGTGTAAACAGCACCTAGTTTAATCTGCACCACCAAGCATTACAGTAAGATGCCTCTGAAGGCAAAAGAGGGTCCAACCCAGTACTGACAAGGTGCACCTAATATAGTGTGGAGTGATCGTCTTTTCATTCCTGATAACATAGTTTTAAATTATAAGTGTGTGTGTCTGTATGTGCGAACATTGGCAGGGTTGTGTGTATTAGTCAAATAAGAAGAAAAATTGTTTTGAAAAAGTAAGTGCTTAACAAGGGGAATAAAAATTAATAATGGCAAAGATATTAAGTCTTGAAAAATGTAGAGTAAATTACATTTGCATTAAATATCAGAACATAAACTATAGATCTTAAATATTGTCCTGTGGCAATTGATTAAACTATAAAAAAGCTTCTTCTTTTTT